AAGTCCACCCGTCTGAAAGCGGCCAAGGTTGGGGAACCGGTCTTTAATGCCTACCAGAAGACTGGCAGCTCTTTCCTGCCATCTAGTGGATGAAGGGAAGCCTGGCACCTCTAGAAGGAGCAGATTTTTGTTTGGCTTGACCACTTCCACTCCAGGGCATGTTGGAGGTCACGTGCGCCATGAAGTCATTGGTCAACATTTGCATCGTTGACGCAATGACATCGTGACACAGGTGTCGTCTCCGTGGCTTTTATCCGACACCCGTGTCTCCTTTCTCCAACCCCTCGATGGAGGCTTCACGCTAAGCCAGGGAGAGACCTAACAGCTGCATTTCACAGCAGCTCTACCTGATTAGAGTATTTCTTTTTCAGTATTTCACCAATATTGTTGCAGAGAAATTCACGCAAGCAGTTCTTCCTGCTCACGGCCCCTCGGCTGCGGTCTAGGTTTGCTGAACATTGATGTTCTCAGCAAGGCCAACATAAATAAGCCATATATATAGCTCACCTGTATTCACTCTATGCTGATCCACAGTGGGGAAAACACAGATTATATCCTTGTTATTTCTTTTATATCTTATAAGAGGTGGGTCTTGGGCTCTGTGCAGGACGAGGCGTTCCTTCATCACCAGCTGCTCCAGGCAAAAGACATATCGAGAAGTGCATTGAAGGCTCTTCAGTCGGGGTCCCTAGGTGACCCCAAATGGAGCATCCCTGATACGATAGTTTGTCCAAACTAAGGACATCTTGGAGGCCTGTTCTCCTGGGAACTTTTGCACACAGAGATGGGCAGGAGGAAAGGGGTTGTACTCTGTGCATGCTCAAAGGCCCTTGCTCATTCTTAAGTTCTTCCTTCCCAGCTGGAGGAGTGGCAGTCAGTTTTAGCCGGCTGCCAGCCTGGAGAAATCAAGCAACGCTGTCTTACCCTGGAGGCCGGTAGATGTGCCTTGTCTGTTCCCACCCACCTCCCTTTTATTTGCAAACAGCCATCTCTCTCTCTCGGCCCAGAGCTCCACCTGGAAGCCAAACAGGTAGACACGGAGGCGGTGGGTCCACCCTCTCCGCGTGCCCATCCCCAGTGTGGACTTTCACATCTGGCGGGGCCAGAAGAATTGCCCGAGCAGAGCAGGGCAAACATTGCTCCCCAGCTGCGAGATAACAGCCAATTTTCTCTCTGCATTTCCTCGTCAGCCTCGTTCAACCGGCCAGAGAAGTTTAGACAGGCGGAGGTAGGAAGCTCGCAAGGAGCTGGGGCTGCACACCTGGGCAGGTGAGTGCTGCTGGACCTTTTCTCTGGGAGTCTGCTCTGCAGGGCTTCTTCTAAAGGGGGGAATTGGGGGAAGAGGGGCTTACAAGGTCCGCCCCGGATCCTTCCTGCTGTTTCTACCGACTGATAATGGGGTTGCCGGAGGGGTGGGACCGGGCTTGGCCTGACCCAGCATGTTTGTCCAAGTCCCAGCACCAGCATGAGCTAACCTGGCCCGTGCCCATGTGGGCGAAGTGGAATTGTTTTGTCTTCAGCTGAGCATGCTGAGTGCAACCAGCTGTTTGGTGGCTCGGTGGCTCAACTGATTATGCAAACACAGGAAGAGGTTAATTCGGGGCCCGAGTGAGGTGAGAAGGCAGTTGTTGACTAACACGCCAGCCACCCTATTTTAGCCCAGCGTCTTGGGAACCCAGGCTGTGTGGCTGGTTTATGGTTTGGCGGCTCTGTACACCGGACATCCTTAACCAGGTCTGTGGTTGCAGAGGGTCCAAGGGGCTGAGCATCTAGCAGAGCAAATCTGTTAGAAGGAAATGTTGGCCGGGGGTCTCCAGCCCCTGCGTGTTCAAAAATAATCCGTTTAGAGAACTGCCGAGGAAGTAAACGAAATAATAACCAAGCCAAACAACTTGAACAGGCAGAGAAAAATTCTCTCCCGGAGCTTCCTGGTCGAGGTGTCGCCATCTTAGTGCCTCTCAGGCACCTGGTCAATAAAGACCCAGCAGATGCATTCACAGTAGGCTAAGTCTGGCTGATACTAACCTTGGTTGTGATCACCACAGACAATAGCAGCCAAGCAGGCAGGAGGCTCATACAACGTGCAACTTTCACACATACATTCGTACAACCTGTTGAGCTAGCTAGCTTCAAATTAGCCTTGGTTAGCTTCTTCGGGGCTTTCAGCGCTGCACGAACGCTGCGGCATGCCCATAAAACGGGTTAATTAAGCCCAGGTCCAGGAGCTCATGTGAAGACAGTCTGTGAAATGCTGGCCACCACCAGGGTCTGAATGTGATAACCCCGAATCCTGGGGCACATGGTCAGGGCTTGGAAGCAAAAATGCCCAGAGGAAGCCCCCGTGATGTCATGCGCAATGGACGTGGTGACCCATGAGGTGTCATTGCCCCTTGCGGACAGCCGCACTGGCATCTGTAATCGCTCTCAAAAGGGCAGCTTCCATCTTGCCACCCCCTAAATGCGTCTCCCCCTTTCCTGTGAAACCCGACATTGCCTCCCACGTTCAGTTCATCTGCTTCCCTGCCTTTGCTCAGAAGCTCAAACCGTTGTACACTTGCCTGCCACCATCAAGGGAATCCTCACAAGAACCCTGCGAGGTAGCCTAGATGGAGCTGATTCCCCCAGCCCCAATTTGCAACCCAGAGCCAGCAACTGGGTTACTTGAGACCGGTGTTTGTGTGTGTGTGCGTGTGAATTGTCCCCAAGAGGGCTCTGGCTGGAAACCAAAGACAGCCCTGGTTCTCCAGCCACAAAGGCTGGGAGATCGGCGAAAGGGCTAGGAAGAGGCTGCAGAGGAGGAGGAAGAGGAGGAGGAGACCTCGTGAGGGCACCAGACTTGCCCAGCACCCTTAGCCTGGACTTCGGACCCATTTTCTGACTTTGCAGAACTCGGCAGCCTCAGAGGCCCCCCATTCGCCCTTAGGCGGGCAGTGTGTGCGCGCCCTGAGTGGTAGGAAGGAACCTACGCTGGGTTCAGAACTCCACACGATGCCCTGCTGGTGATCTTGAGCTGGTTGCCACTTCTCCTAGAGCCAGCCTACCTCACAGGGTTATTGCAAAGATGCCCACTGTCTCCTGTCTGCTTAACCATCCGCCGGGAACACATCTCCACAAGCTCAGCTCTGAGTCATCGTCAGCCCAAAGATGCAAGTGGCATTTTCCACATTACGGTGGTACAGGACACCCTGCATGGACAGTCCATGCTGCCGGGGTCCCGAAGCCCCTTCCACACACCCTTGCTTTGTGGTCTCCTTTTTTCTTTCTGTTTTTGACCAGCTGAGCTACAAATGATCACGGTTTCCACCAAGAGGCCGTGCAACAAAATCACCCGACAGACAGACCCCAAACGCCTTCTCCTCCCGCTCTGGAAAACCACGTGCTTCCGTGCTGGGCAGCGGAGGGGGCGCGTGTCTGGGTGGCTTTCTGTATTTTGGAGGAGGGGGTGGGCAGAGGGTCTCCCTTGCCTTTATCCCGCAGCCCCAGCTTCTGCACCGGCTGTATTCGCTGTCTTTTGAAGGGGGTCCACTGATTCATTGGCAGGCTGACCTATCGGATTATTTCTTTACTAGAGCTATGGCGTGCCTTTCGCCAAGGGTTCAAACTGTTGTTCTAGAGTCTCGCCTCCTATTCCCCCAAAACAACAACCTTGCAAGGTAGAACAGGTCAGAAGAGAGCGACCATCCCAAAGTCAGCCCCTGAGCTTCTGTGGCCGAAGGTGGCTTTGATCCTGGGTCTCCCCAAAGCGACACCCTCAACCCTCCACCACCCTGGTTCGCTGGTTAGATTTATACCCCATCCTTTCATCCAGAGTGACATACATTGGCTTCTCCCCTGATTTTCTCCAGCACAACAACCCTGTGAGGTATCTTGGGCTGACCAGCATAGGTCCAGAGTCCCCAGCAAGCTTCTTGAACTGCCTAGCACCTTCCCCTCTACCTCATCCTGGATCCCTCTCAGCACACATAGGCAGCAATGCTCTAGTCCAGGGTTTCTCAACCTTGGCAACTTGAAGAGGTGTGGACTTCAATTCCCAGAATTCCCTAGCCAGCTGGCTGGCTGGGGAATTCTGGGAGTTGAAGTCCAAGCATGCTGGCTGGGGAATTCTGGGAAAATGTCCACACCTCTTCAGGTTGCTAAGGTTGCGAAACAGTTCTTCTGCAAGGAGACCTATTCAACAGCTGCATCACAGCTGCACCAATCCTCTAACTCCTCGCTGACCCCTTGCGGTTAACAGGCTGATCCTTATTTTGGTAAAATGAGGCGCACGTCCCCAAAGCCTGCCTGGTCTCTCACGCCCCCACAAATCCCAAGCATCCTTTCTAACTTAAGAACTTACTGACCGGGTTTATAGGCCGTGCCATCGCTCCTGTTTCTGAGCGGCGGACATCATGACACTCGTAAATCAGGACACAAACCTACAAGTACAACATAGAAATCCAAGCATATCATTCTGCGGGGTTGCGTCAGAGCCGCGCACATCCAGGCGACCGCAGCATGGCACTCCAGGGAGGGAGTCTGTTCCCTGCCGTTAAGTCAACAGCTTGATAGTTGTTTGTCCTTTGGAAGGAAAAAAACCAGAAAAAAACTATTGTCCGCAGGGCATCCGGGCTGTACGAGCCTTTCCTGGCCGGTGGCCGTTTTTCCCACGATTGAGGACGGCCCAATTTCAGCCAGGGGAAACCACCAACCACTCTCCTTACCGTGTTGCGCAGTCCAGCTCAGCACCGTCCCATTCCAGATGTGCAAGAAGGACCAGTTGTGAGGCAACAAAAGCTGGATTTCTCAGGTTCCACCCTTGGAGCGGATCCTTGTTTCTCACGGGACGGTTGTGAGGATGAAGCGGACAGAATGCAGGGGAGGCCCTGCAATCACAGAGACGGGAGCTTGTCTAATTGCTGCATTCACCCAGCATGTTTAAACCAGGCCAGAGAGTCCCCCAGCAAACCCATTCATGCCACATGGCAGCTAATCTTCTGCTTTCATTTCGTGTTTCGGTGTCTCGTGGTTGGTTGGCTGGCTAGGACTCCATGGACTTGTGTGAACCTAAGAAAGGGGTTAATGGAGGAACTAGGTTTAAATGTGCTGCGTGAACCCAACCCGGCTGTCTTCAGCACCCACTCAACTGGGGGACGTGGGGAAAGTATCAGTAAGGAGGACAAGAGTGCCCCTGAGCAGCTGCAGAACACACTGGCCACGTGGTTAAGGGAACAGGGAAGACAGGGAGGGCTTCCAGTTTTCAGGCAAGCAAGAATTCAGCGGCTGTGACTGCATCGCAAGCCGAAAGGCGTGACTTCAGCAAAGAGGTAGCCCAGGATGATTTCCTCCTTTTGCCCAGGATGCAGCCAGATTGAGAGCAGAACTAAAAAAAAGAAAAAAGACCACCAATTATTGACTAAGAGACCCGACCTTGCCACTGCTGTCCTGCATCAACAGGATGCCTCCTTTCCACGGGATAAGCAGCTCGTTTCTTGGTGCACATCTTTGCCTGGTGTTCGGATGCCGCTCCGTCCAAAGGATCTTCACCTCATCAAGGAAGGCCCATCCCAGGAGGAGCGAAGAGGCCACTTGACTCCTGCCAATTCCCCATCTGGAGGCAGCCGGCTCTCAGGGTCGGCGTAATTGGTGTCCTGAACATGGCAGAGGGTTGGGCTAGATGATCCTCGGGGTCCCTTCCCACCCTATAAATCAGCTGGAGCTTCTATTTTCCTCTGGCAGCAGAGGCGAGGCTCTTCCCATCTCCTGCCCCCTGTGATCCTTTCTGAACAGAGGCGTTGCGTTCTCACACTCGCCGTCCCAGCTCTGAGTCTTGGAAGAAGAAGAACGATCCCATTTCTGTAGCGTTTATTATCCCCAGCGAGCTGGCTGCAAGGTTGGCTAAACACTGTGTGCAGCAGAAGGCCTTTTCCACCACTCTCATCACAGGTTTTTGCAAGAAATCCCCTCGTCTTGCCAAGTGGTCCATGAGGACTAGAAGCTGAATGGAGCATAGCGAAACAAAGTAAAATCAATGGGAGACGAATTATCCGTTGATATGAGTCTTTGGTAGCCTCTCAACCCGCCATCCCCAAATGGGCACCTTTCTAAAATTCTCATCAATGGCGGAGAGGTTAACTCTGTCTGGAGGGCACCAGCTTGGAGAAGCCTCTTCTAAGCAAACCGGGCTGCGCAATCAGGGAAGTAGCTGATTACATCAATGCCAAATGAAATAAAACACCAGGCTATTTTGCTGCAGGAACATTGGGGTGGGGGGGAGTTGCAATCTGATCTTGAGGCTCTTAAACAGAGGAATTTAAATTAAGAGAAGGATGCCTTTGCGTAAATAAATTAAAAATAAAAACTGGCTCTGAATCACTGACTTAAGAGGCAGCCGATTAAGTGCACCTATTCATCTGATAAATTATGTTCTTTTTCCCACCAAGGGAAACTGGACCTTTTCCAGGCAAGGGCCACTTTAAAATTGCTGGCCATCAGTTCATTTTTCATGTCTGTGTGTGTGTGCTTTAAAAGTCGCCTTGAAGGGAAGAGGCTGAGGTCGATCTGGAGCAGAAGGAAGGGGATGGTGGAGGACACCTAAGAGCATCCATTCCCTCTGTCCTCTCAGGGGCCAAGCCCAGCTGGACCATGGCCAGAGAGAATTTGCCGGACAAGAGTGTAGCGAGCTGACGGCGATAACGGCTAATTTGCTGCAGAGCTAAGCTTTCCGAGAAATGCACCAGAATTGAACAAATGATCTCATCCAGTGGTAGGAAAAGCCGCCTTACCTCTCCAGCCTTAAGTTAATCCGAGCCACCGTTTGCATCCACAAACCTGCATCCCCCTACTTCTCCAAGGTAAACCCCTTGCCCGAAACCCATTACTGGATGGATCAGGGCAGATGCCACCTCTGAGCTGGAAGAAAAGGGTGCTGCCCTCGTGGTCTCAGTCATGGGGCCAGCAAGCCGGTTTAAGGAAGGTCCGGTTAAGGAACGTGACTGGGGGCTTCGTTTCCCCTCCCACTGAGCGTCACCAAGCACCAGCCCACTTCTTAATGTGCGGTGGGGCGGGGCTGGTTGACCGTAGGCGGGTGCTTGGAATGGTGGCATCAGCCTGACTCGCACGTCGCTGGCATGGGGCACGCTTGTGCTCTGTCGATCCGGCTGTTTCTCAGCACGGGTCTAGCGTCCTTTTGAAAGAGCGCTAAACTGTATCCAGAAAGAGCCAGGTCACAGGCCCCCTGGCAGAGGGCTGCTGGGCGAAGCAGGAGGGAGTCACCCTACGCAGAAGGTGAGCGGGCACTGTTCTCCTGTAACAAAAACAGTAAGAAATATGGGTGCGCAAAGCCCCTGGTTGGGCAAAGCAGCAGGACATCTGTCAGGGGTGCAGCGGGACGAATGGGCAACTCAGATCTGGAAGCATCTGGGTCTCTTTCCCAGTTTAAATAGATTGCGCAGCACAGAGCTACCTCTCAAGCAAACACGTGCCTTGCTGCTTCAGCGCCAGTCTAGCGCTCTTTCAGAAGAACACGGGAGACGCAGCTCTTTCGGAAACGCCAGCCCGGCCCAGGTGTCTGGTCTGCCCTGCGGCCTGAGCCGCCGTGGCCACAGAGGACAGTGTCCAACGTGGGGGACATGCACAGCAGCCTCAAGCCACCCATCCGAGGTCACAGAGCCAAATCCCAGACTGCATCAGCCGCCCCCTCCCCAAGGAAGCCTCACGCACGGTGTTTGTGGCAAAAACGGTGCCAGGAGGAGAGGAAAATGCGGCTTTAAAACTGGAGCCGCTAAAGAGGACCTTGAACCGGCTGAGAGGAGTTGAAGGCGACGTCTTCAGGGGAGGGCAGAAAATGACACCTCCCATGGCCTGATTTAGTTTAAGGCACTTTCCTAAGTTCCGTTAGGACTGCAAAAATGTAGATGACTCCACACCAGTGTTTCTCAGCCTTGCACCTTTCAGAGGTCTGGACTTCAACTCCCAGAATTCCCCAGCCAGCCGGGCTGAGAGGAGTTGAAGTCCAGACCTCTGAAAGGTGCAAGGCTGAGAAACACTGGTGTGGAGTCATCTACATTTTTGCAGT